TTTCTTTTGCACAGGACATGCATTATTACATTTGAATCCTTAGAAATACACAAGCTGTATTTCAATACCCTGGGTAGATTTATAAACCAGGTTACTCTATCTGAAATCTAATCATCACAGCTACTTTGCTCCAAATGCTAGCTCAGAGATAAAGCTTTGTAATAACGATTACAGAGTTTATGCCACAAGCAGGTCATTCTATGCACAGGCATCGTAAAACCGCATACCATGGCTGCTACTTGAATTCTGGTGAACACATCTTTCATTCACTGGATGCAGTTTCCAGATGCCATTGCTGTCAGCTCATTTCTTATTCCCACCGTTCCTCCACCCTGGCCCTGTCTGAATGGTGCTTTTTTAATATTGGCAAGGGATTTCTAGTACTTCAGAAGTATGCACACACCACAATGCTCCCTGTAGCTCTGCTATACGTTAACAGCTGCTCCCAGAGACGTAGAATAGGGGATGCACATGGGCAACATTTTCCTCTGCAACAAAGCAAGCCAGATTGCTTCACTTCAGTAATGTCAACTCAACACCATTTGCAACCACTTTCCTTTCTAATGGTGAAAACTGTTGGAAGTGGAGTAGAGACAGTGCAAGACAGAGGCCCACTGGGTTTCACAGTGGAAAACTGTCACCTTCCAATTCCTTTTATTTCATTTTGGGAGGTTGGGAGGTACCAGTGGAAACAATGGAAACAAAACAGCGTTTGAACACAGCCAGGCTCCTTTGTAAACTCAATGAAAAAGTACATTTTCGAGCAGAATCAAAAATGACTATTTGAAGCAGCATCAGCCTCAGAACCACAGCAAGTGACATGCATGTGTAGATCCAGTGTCACCAAACAGCCACATGTGATCTCTGTCGACACTTCTTTTAACTGCCAGTGTGTAGTGCCAGAACTGTACAGCACTGCTGTATGCCCGTATCAAAGTTGCTTCGGGTCCTAAGATTTCATTGAGAAGTTAATCATACGGTATCTGTATTTATCAGAGTAACTCTCCAAACACAAAGTGTATCCAAACTAAAGAACTCTGTTGCACTGTTTATCTCAGCATTGAGGAATTCTGAAGTCTACAGAGATTATATATAGACCAGTATACTTTATTATTATTATTCAGCATTTTTGCAATCCAAACTTTCTCTGGTAGTATTCCAGCTTCCAAAATCCTAAATGCCAAACTCAGAACTACATTTTTTTACAAACAGTACCATGCAATTATGTGCTGGCAGTTATTCCAAAGTATTTTAAGTACCAGGAAATATGGGAAGAACATAAATAGTGTAATACAAAAGAAAAATAATATGAATCACTCAGTGCATTTTTCATCTTAGCTTTGTGAATATGCTCCAGGGTTAAGTTAAGATGAAGCTGCTGCAAAATCTTCATTTAACTGATGTGGAGTGTCATCAAGAATAACATGTCCTTTTACAGAACATTAGTCAAGGTGAGACAAATGATGCACAGAGTCAGATGTTATTCCTGTCTGTGACTGTCCAGTTCTGCTTTTCATCTTCTGCCTTTCAGATGCAGAGGGTTTGTTCTGGCCAAGCAGAAGTTCTCTTTTCCCACAGGCTGCACTACTGGGGTGGAGACTGCAAAATCCTTGCCAAGTGCCTTGAACTCCAGGGATTTGCTCCAAGTGCACCAAAGTTTTCCAGGAGGACATCACCTCACCATGGAGCTCTTTCCAGAATCCAGTAGCAGCATGAGATAAGAGGATCTCTGACAACTGTTCCTTCAGCTTCTAAATAGGGTTTGAAACAAGCTGGCTTTGTTCCAGAAGCCAAACCATCTGAATTTAGAATATTATCAGTAATTACACTGTTAGTCATTTATCCTAAGGTTTCTATATATATACATATTAAAAACTACTTAAAATATCAGTAACTATATTTGGAATTGGTGGAAGAACAGATACTTTAGAAAAAGAGGAAATCGTCCAAATGGTTAAGAAGCATTTGGCTTTGTGTCATGGCTGTGAACATGACAAAAATTGTAATTGATAACAATGGAGAAAAATTAAAATCTTGCAAGAATGTTCTCCCACACTTTAAATCATGTGGAATATGGACCAGTGTTATGCCCTTCCCTTTTGCACTATTTCCTCTGCATTTTATAAATTATATGTAACAAAGCCAACCCCTGCCTCCTGCCAACCTTGACACAGGCATAATCTCTTGGGCATTTTGAAAGTCAGAACATCTACCTAGTTTAGGGAGACTTGAATCATGAGGCAAAGAGATGAAAGAAATCTCCAGGCAACTCAGCTTTTCAGCGTGGTTGATTCCAGTCACAAGTTATCTTTAGTGGTGCTCAAAAATAACGTAGAGAGACTTGAAGTTGTAGAAGAATAGAAGGAACAAGAAAGAATGTGTATCCTGGAACTCATATTTTGCCATGTAGATATTCAGCCTGCATACTAACTTTGTTCATGTTCTGTCTCCATTACTATGTGGATCTGGCTTTCTTTAATTTAATTACTTGTGAGTACTACAAACCATAGAAAACCATCAGATACTAGAACACTGAAAGAAAATGACAAGAATTTTCTATTCTATTCTGTTCTCCTCTGGCTGCTATGAGAATGTTTTATCAGCAGTACTTAGAAACACTTAGGGAAATTAAACTGAAGAGCTTGTGGTCGAGTCTCACCCATACAAGAAAGGAAGAGCAATGTTAGCCTTAGTGGCACCTTTTGCTTCTTTCAGACCACTCACAGAAACCCAGGAGGAGCTTTTTCTGACAACAAGGAACATCACACATGCGGGGTGGCTTATAGCTGCTCCTGGTCCTCCCACTCACACAGAAGCAGATAAATAAATGGTGAAGCTTGGCAGTGCCCAGGATTTATTTCCTATCATCGTGTATCTCAGAAGACAAACAAACAGGCTCCTGTGCTTGCTACAGTGCCAAATGCCACAGACAGTCTGAGTAAATAGGGACAGGTAAGGATTTCTGGATATAAGGCCTTCTCTTCCTCAGTTTACGACATAAGAGTAGAGTCAATCCAATCTCCCACACCAGCTCTTCAGCCACCCATGAAGTTACCTAACAGGCTTCTTCTCAAAATTCCCATCACTAAAGAACCTTCCACAAAACTATCCTTCTCAGTAAAATACAAATTAACAAGCTTCACCGTTTCATCACAAAACATGTGGTGTCTCTGTTTCTCTCCCACTCCTGGTATGTGGAAAACTTCTTATTTTGTCTACGTTCTTTACCCATCCCTGACTGAAATAAAGACACCCAGTCCTTCAGAAAAAATTAAACAAAAAGTTCCATGTCTCCCTAGGGAAATAAAAACCGACACAACATACATGTGTTTTAAAAAATTATAGTGATACTTTCTTTGAGGTTCTGCAGGACAATTAGCTAGAAAGAGAAGGAAGACAGCCAAGTTTTCTTAGATGTTTATTCTAACTCATGAACAAAGTGTGGTAAACTGTACATTCTCTAGAGACATCCAAACATGTCATAAAATGGCAAATATAAAATGTACAGTTAAAATATTAACTTCAACAATTTTAACATCCCCAACACAAACACTTCTGAGTGTTGCTAAAGAATTCCCATCTTTGAGAAAAACTGTTGTTCTGACAGGGCAATTATACAACACTGAAGTGTCCCTTGTTATTATTTTGGTTGTTTAATTAAAACTAAAGCATACAAATCTTCATGTTTCAGGTGAGATCTGCATTTTAACCCTCCTTGTCTGGGCACTGCTTCATTTGCACACAATTCTGCGGAATCCAAAGAAGAATCTACCAACACCTCTAACACTGCACAAGAGGATGCACTGTGGAGACCAAGACAGAAGAACAAAAATGCTTCTTCATATATGGTAATATATGGTAACAATCAAATGCAAGACAGAAGAAGGTTATTTGATCTGCTGAGTGTTCTTGAAATAAAAGCAGCTCCGGATTCAGAATTTGATTTACAGGATGACATTCAAGGATTCTTAGACAATGGATTAATTTCAAAGCTTTTGCAGAAAGGTAAGATGGGAAACAATTTCTTGAAAGAGAGGAAGTCAAAGCATGTTGAATACTGAATTAAAGGTCTAAGTTGGGAAAAGGAAGAAAGCAATTTTAAACTCTAGTATAGTGATAAGTGCCAATCTAAACTGTGAACACCTGTGGAATATCTGAAGTGCCAAAAAACATCAGGACTGTGCCTGGACAACTGCAGAACACAGAAAAGCCTTAAAAAGAAAGATCCCACAAAGCTGAGAAATCATTTTGAACCAAACTAATACATAAGTTTGGCAAACTGGTTACTCCAGATGACTTTCTGATACAGTCAATATTCCATCACACTTTTTGCAGGATCTGTTTTCTAAGTGAGATGCACACAAATGGAAAAAGAGAATTCAGCTCACCTGACTACAGCTGCACAGATCTTAGTAGTTTTGACTCCATTTAAGGGCCAGAGAGAAACAAACTTGCACAGGGCTTTATCTGCAGGACAGGTTTTGGCACTTACACTCAGCTGTGTTGAGTCACAGTGTGGGGGTACTCATTGCTCTGCAGAAGCCTGCAGAAGTCTGTATTAGCAGGTGAGATGTGTGATGTCTCAAAACAAGGAGCACCATTGTGTACTGTTAATCTGTGCAGTAATTGAGTGGCATCAGCAGCATGAATAGCAAGCATATGTAGGACCTTTGTTTTCCTGTTCAGGGCCAGGAGCCAGATCCCACACCAGCCAACAAGCATAGCTGCAAACTGCAGAAACACAGAACTAAAGCTGGCTTAAAATAACACCCCTCCTCTCAGGAGCTGGTGCAACATCATTCCCCACTCAAAAGCTGTTCCTGAGCTTTGAGAAAAGAGCAAAGAGTGTTTGTATGAACATACTGAATTTATTTAATGCTTTGACAACCTTTCTGAGAGGAAGGGCAGCAGAGTTCTGGAAGTGTTTCGCTGTATGCTTCAGGTTGGGGGTAAGCATAAGGAAAAGCTCTTATATCAAGACATCTTTCTTTCTTCTGTCTGGGGATATCTTTGATCCATAATTCTTGAGGGAAAAAAAGATAGAAAAAGACACAAGGCATTCTTCTCCCTAAAAAAAAACAACAAAAAACTTTCAACACATTGTTTCAAATCTTTCTTCACAGCTTACTGAGAGTCTGATAATGTCTGGGTTTAAAATAAATACAAGAAACAATCAATATATCTGCTTTTTGTTCTTGCTTCTACACTGCACTCCCCCGAAATGCATGGAAGATGTGCCAAAATAACACAAAACGACTGTTCTACATCTTGTGCTCCCAGAAAGACAGGAAACACTGTGGTCTCATGAGAAGATTTTTTAAAAAACAACTGTGGCTTATCCTGCAAAGAGCTCCATGGAAACATCAATGGAACTCATTGCTGGAGTGTAGCCTAAAGCTGGGGTTTAGGGTTTTTTTTTTCTTTAAAAAAAAAAAAAAGTTTGTTCTTGTTTTGTCCAAAACAGCCTACACATCTCTGGTACAGCTCTGTTGGCCTGTTAGGAGCTAAGCTGAGCTCTTCAGCTTCTTTTAAAACAAGATACCAAGCAGCCATGAAATGGTAATGACTTTCAGTATTTGACCCAGTAACCTACAGGAGGAATGTAGGTAAAACTTTGTTGACTGATGCTGCATTATGTAAAGCCAGGATCAGATAAGTGCTGGTATTTTTTTCTATGCTTGCCATGATGAATAAAATCACACAAAGCTTTATTTCAAGATATAAATGAAGTTGGATTGGATTGAACAATTCTTTTAGCTCTTTTAAAAATTACACAGTTGGAAAAGAATTGTCAATCAGTTCTGTAGGGAACAATGAATGTTAAACCTCATTCAAGGCTGTTTCTGTACTGGCCTTATTTTCGTAGCATAGAGCACATTCTAGTGCTTCACATATCAGGTGGTATCTTTATGCCCTGTGCTTTGAATGATTTCATCTCTTATGCATAAAGGCACAAGAGAATCCTGAAAATCTTTTCAACTTGTTGATCTGAAAGAGTGTTTGAAAACAGGAGAAGCCTAGGTATTTTATACCCTTGACTTCATTACTTTAGAAAGTAAAGCTACATGTGTTCTGTTTTAACCAGTAAGTAGGCCCTGGAAAAGTATAAATATGCCACTCAGTATGCAGGGTTTTTTCCCCTGTCTGCAACAAGATGTTCTGCCAACTTATTCACATTTGCATGACATTGTAATATTTCCATTAGCTTGGCCGATAAAAGTTTTGAGAGGCTGAGTATGTTGACAACATCCAAAAATTTTTAAGCAACTTTGGCCTACATTGTTCTGAGGGGGAAGTAAGAAGACAAAACACAACAAAATTTTCAAGGACAGAGGGTCTAAAGCAAACCATCATGACTTCAAAAAATGTGAATTTTAGTTTAGTTGGCCTCAAGTTTGCTTTAGATAGGAGAGCAATTCATTTTATTTTGCTTTTTATTTTTCTTTTTCAAGTCCAGCTGTTCTAAATGTTTTGAGAAAATCAACATTGTAAACGAAAAGGACATCCTGTAAACTTGAACATCAAACCAGAAGACTTGGTCACGGTCAGCGTGAGCCCAACACTCTATCACAGTTACTAATACAAAAGAGAAGCCAAACACTGAAAGCAACCAAAGTCTAGAAGGACAAGATAAAGGTCAACAGGGAATTCCTTCTTTTAAAATTCTAAGATTAGCTGGGAGACTTTGTCCACAGAAATCCTACCTTAGGTGAGCAAATAGGGTCCACCAAAACAAGCTTCATTTCTCAAATGATGAGATGCCAAAGAACCAGAAGATACAGTAGAGAAACAAGAAATAGGAAATATATATTTCCTAGACTGAAGTAAATAGGATGCTAAAGCCCCTACTGCTCAGATTAACAGGGACCAGAGAAATCACACGGGGTCACGACAACAGTACCATTCTGTTTGCACCCTCAGACATTCATTGGAAATTCACCTATCAGTTGATCCTGAGATTCACTGATGCTGGAATCAGGAAATTACCTTTAGTTTGTCTTTTTTCTTCTTCACTTAAAAAAAAACAAGCAACAATAAAAAACCCCACACAACTAAAATGCAAAACTTAGGTTATAAGGATGGAGAAAATAATAAGTTCAGGACAAGGAAAAGGATTTGGGCTGAGAAAACCAAGGCATCCCACTTCTTCCTCACTCAGCTCCAGAGTCCATTGTTGGAAGGGAGAAAACACCCCTTTTGCTTATAGGTCCTGCTGTTGTTAGGCAACACTCCTACTTGCTTTAATGCACTGATTAAACACTAAGGACCTCACAACTTAACCTTTAATTAGACCATCACTGTCTTGCAATCAGCAGTGTGCAGCATTCAAAGTTCAAATCCTGCTCTGCACAAAGCTAACTTGATCCTGCAGCATATTTTGTGCATCAGTATTTGTTAGTGTGGGATGTTCTCAAAATTAATAAGTCTTACTGTGTGGGAGAGCTGTTTTATTTTTCTTCTGTAGGGTTACTCTGGAATAACTCTTGTGGCTTCTAGAAATGCTATATAGATGAGGAATTCAGCCTACCCTGTCTCATAATAGGGTAGTTTGTTGTTGTTGTTTGGTTTTTTTTTTGTCTGTTTTGTTTTTCTTAACATGAGGAATTGAATACTGATGCACATTCATAAAAGTCTGTTCTTATAAGCCCAAGTACACAGTGCTGCAGGACATACTTTACCTGCAAATTCTTGTGCCCATTTAACACTGCAGAATTTCATCAAGCACAGCTAAGCCTACCACGCAGCTAGATCTTTTGTAAGGCAATTTGTTGGAGCTGGAAGCCACATTTAAAGTTAAGTACACATTTTAATGATCTACAAAGGTCTCTTCTCACTAAAAGAAAGACTTATTTGCCTCCTTTCTACTTAATCCTCAGAGACTTTGCATCCATAGTTACAGCAGATGGCAATGGGACGAATCTGCTCCTAATGCACCAAATCTGCCATCCCTTACTTAAGGAGTAGGAATAAAAATGTGGCCTTAACGTGGCTTGAAATACGACTAAGAACAAACAAGCTCCAGAAGAACTCTAATTTGTGATCACACAGAAACTTCTATAGGATGCAGATTAGAAGTTCATGTTCTCGTCACTGTGGGGATATGATGCCTCTGTTAATTTAAGCCACTTAAACATTTGAGTTTGCAGTTCCTCATGATCTTGTTGCTAATTTGCTCACAGTGGTCTTAAGAATTGAAAACAAGCCTATCAGGGACCATTTCAAAGATCTTAACATTGTCATACCATTAACTCAGAGGAAGAATAGTTCCAGTCTAACTAAGTGTAGTCTTTAAAATCTGTAACAGCAATGGGTGAGAAAAAGCTATGCTTAATGAGCCTCAGCCCACTCAAACATATGTTTGTTAGTAATGCAGAGTAAGTGCCAGGATTTATTAAGTAAATTATTGTACAGCCATTTCTTGAGTATACAATAATAATGACTTGGTGTGAAAGCAAATCATATGCAGAAATGAAAATCAAGAAAGAAATCATGTTATTCATATCTGACTGCTTTTGTTTCTGCCATTGACCAACCATTCTTTAGCATCAGCCAGGCTGCTTTTTGAGATAAACCCACGACAGACTCCCAATGAGGTTCTGTGTTTCTGTCTGCCAAGGGGTGTAATAAGAGAAGAGGCATTTTGGTGCACACTGAAAACCAGAAAGAGAAATAAAAGAACTTGCAACCCAAAAGAACATCTTACTTTGTACCCTTCAAATTCCATAACAAAGTATTTTTGGATAGTACATGGAAGATCCCAACTAATGATTTCCCAAATAATATGTAAATGAATTCACCAGACTACCCAAAGCATTTCAACATGGCCTGATGTTTCACTGACCATTCAGAAACCTTCTCTCCTGTGGTACAAACTTTGCATCTTCTTGAAAGGATTTGCCTGAAACGAGCACAAAATGTATTTACAGCAGCACCCTTTTCAACACCCAACAGGGAAACAAAGAGAAGCAACATGAACAAAAGTGGACAGAACACCTTATAGCACTAGAGCTCCTTGGTGTGGAGCTCGAAGTACCACAGTCATAATTCAGCAAACACCTACAATCAAAGTCACCCTTCATTTTTTTTAGCTTTGTACTCAGAGGCTGAGTACAGAGAAGCCTCTACATGAGAGCTGCAAGAACAATGTGATCTGTCTCTTCCTTAGTTTAAAAATCACACTAACTGCTATTGGAAAGAAACATTTTCAAGTTAACAAGTTACCCTTCAAAACCATCCCATTGCAATCTTAAATGCAATTTACGGACAGGTAGTCCCAGCTCCTTGTGAGCTAATTTTAGGCACTTAGCTAGAGCTACCTTTGTGTATCCTAGGAGATAATGAGGTACCTGCTGACAGCAGTTGAGATCTTAGTGGTACGAACAACTTTTTTCCTCTACTGATTACAGTGAAGACTTAGGACAATTATGCATCATATAAAGGAAGTGCATCAATTATGTACCTGAAGTTAGGCAAGATGAATGCAGGCCTACGGAGCCTAATATTTACAGAGAATTAGTACACCTAAGGTGCTTCCGTGGACAGGTTGTTCTTGAAAAAGGCTTTTAGGCCCCATGGTGAGCCTTTAGGTAACAAATTCCCTCCAAATTCACTGGGAGTTGGTCAATAACTACCTTCAAAAAACTTTCCTCTACAGCACATTCAAAAACTTTTCCTCTGATTTTCATCCGTTTGGAGTGGCTTTGCACAGCAACAGAGCAACTGTCTATCAAAAGACAACAGCCAAGATACTACAGAGGGAGATACAAGTGGAGAACAGGGAAAGCTGCCATACTTTGTCAGATTTTCTAGCATGTCAGATGGCCCTCGAGAATCCTGCTGGCTTTGTATGATTGACATGATTTATGAAGGTCAAGGAGCTGTGAACAGCAGCTCTGGGTAGTGCTATAGCTGACAGCGTTCCTCTTCACTGGGAATGCAGTGGGGCACAAGGCAGTAACAATATGCAAACTGTGTCTTCACAATATGCAGAACTTGAGCTCTTTCTTAAAGAATGTTTGATAAGGGCTTGAGTATTTATTTGCAAGGCAAATAAATAAAAAGAATCTGCCTCAGTCCCAACAAAACCTTTCTAAAAGGAAAGCAAAACAAAAAGCTCATAGGAGAAAGCCAGAAAAAGCACAAAGTTGGTTGTTATTATTCAGCACACGCAATCCAGTGAGAGTTGAGAATTTACCAGAGAACATCAGACCAGAGGACCAATTGAAAGTCCCTGATGTTCTCCCACATGTAATCAGAGAAAAAAAAACACAAAGAAACCCCACACCATAATGAACCCAGGGGATTTCCATTGCTGCATGCTGTGAGAAGAGATAAAATTACTTTCTCTCCCAAGGAAAGTGGTTTAGTGGTCATGGTGGTGGTGGGTTGATAGTGGGACTTGATGATCTTAGTCTTTTGCAACCTTAATGATTCTATGATTTCAGTTAGTTTAAAATGCATGTTTTCACAAATAGGAGGACATATTCAGTAAGGAACATCCAAATCCAAAATTCCAGTTGTTTTCATCATGAAAAGAAAACATCCGTAGCATTGATTCTGTTCCCCTTCTCATTACTACTGTTCAAAAAAATACTTCCCCATTTATATGAATTTCCAATATATTTCCACACAATCTTCTCCTTAGCTCTAAAATGTTCACCTGTCAAATGCCAGACTTCACTTCAGATGAGTCTGACAGAATGAAAGTTTTTCATTATTATCAGACTCTTACCTCTTCTTATCAGATGTAATGCTATGTGACCACATATTTGCTATGCCACGTCATTCATCTGGTGGATTTTTATCCAAGTGACATGGCAAAACTGCAGCAGTTCCCATTGCCAACAGCAAGAAGACATCGTTCTTGCTTGGAGAAGGGTCTTTCAACTTCAAAGACTCAAGTTGGTGGGAATTTCAGCAACAATACCAGAGGTGGGAGTGGAAGAAATAGGCCAAATGTCCTGAAGTCAACAACTTCCTTCTCTGTCCACCAAGTAACCATTTTGCTATCAGGTACAATTGTTATATCATTGTTACATCATCATTACCTCCTTTTGGTATTTTCTGCTAGAGTCATTCCCTCTCTGATTGCAGAAGTACCTCCTGAATCATCACGTCTCCAGGCCTCTGCCTACTGAGTTGCAGGCCAAGGGTTTGTACATTCAGAATGTCCCACAAGAAACGTCAAATATGGAGAATGAGAAGAAAAAAAGAAATGATGACTACTAACATCAAAAGCATGCATTACTTAATCAGACCACCAGAGTTACTCACTTTTTAATAAAAATTTGTGCCTACCTCATGAGGTGTTGATGTGTGATCATGCCTCAGCTGCTCACTACTCATGAATGTGGTAAAAATCTGGACTGGAGCACTTCTGGATAATGTGTCCTAAGACCCACTGCAAGGAAATGACATGACAAATTTGAGTATCCTCTGCCAATGTATTTGTGAAAGTGCTAGATGCCTTTCTAAGGAGAAAATCCAACTTCATACAAAACAATTTTTCACAAACTTGAAAATATTCTGTTTCCTCTTATCCAAAATATGTTGCACTGACAAATTCTTAAACGGAAAACAAAGATGAAATGGGCTTCCATTAAGATGCACTTCCAGTTTAGTATTTATTAAATAATGTTCTTTATTCTGGCTGATTCAAATCCCGCATTCAGCCATGAAAAATTCTATAACAGACTTTCTAATCCTACAGCTGCAGTGTTAAAGGGTATCCTGGTTTGCAAGAGCATAGAATATTAGGAAATGAAGTAGACTTATTTTATTCACAGTGGTGCCAGCAGTAAGGTATAGAAAAGACAGTACTTCAGTGCAAATCTACTGACTGTATTAAACAAACTCTGAATTTTAGGACCATGGACCATTTTATTACATCATCTGATATCTGAGTCTAGCCTAGCAAACAAGAATACTATAAAGACTATATGGTCCAGAGCAGATTATGCTTTTACTGCAAGAATTAATAAAAATACCTAATGCCCTGTGCAGCTCTTTTAACCTCTCTGAACCTAAAATTTCTTCCATAAAGCAGAGATAGCATGTAGTATCCTTGCAAAAATCACTACGATAATGAAAAAAAATATTTTCCATGCCCAATCCCTCTTCCCAGTGAATATTTAGAAAAAAAATAGAAACCTCATGGATAAACAAGCTCAGTAACATAGGCTCAGAAACATTTTCTTTCATTATGGAACACATAAAACATAAGCTCATGTGGGAGACAGGTTATAGCCTTGCTTCTGGTTTCTTTCTGTAAATGTACATTGTATTATAAATTAAATGAGGTTTGGTTCTTTCTTGAGGTTTGTGATGGCCTCTAGTGGTGGCTGTGTGAACAGAACATTTCCTTATCCCAAACATTCAGGAACCATGCTGTGGAAGAAGAACTTGTATTGTAAATTGTGTCTCCCAGCTTCTCACACAGCAAAGGTGGAAAAGAGCAAACCAGCAGCACTTTCGTGTAGCTCACACTTAGAAATGAGAAACGCAAACTCTTTGGAGGTGAAGAAACACTAGGGAGATGTCATCCATAGACATCTCTGAACAGGATTGAGAAGAGGGCCCATGCTAATATCAAGAAGTTCAGCAAGGCCAGCACAAGGTCTTGCACCTGCATCAGGACAATTCCAAGCATGAATAAAGACTGGGCAATGAGTGGATTGAGAGCCTACGGAGAAGTATTCAGGGGTTTTGGTGGATGGATGAAAAACTCTACATGACTTGGAAATGTGTGTTTGCAGCTCAGAAGGCCAATGGTATCAGGGCTGCATCAAAAAAGGGGTGGCCAGCAGGGCAAGGGAGGTGATTCTCCATCTTTGCTCTGCCTTTGTAAGTCTCCATGTGGAGGTCTGCATCCAAGGTTAGGGCCCGCAGCACATGAAAGATGTGGAGCTTCCAGAGCAGGTCCAGGAGAGGAAAGATGATCAAAGAGCTGGAGCACTTCTGTTATGAAGAAAGGTTAGGGGTGCTGGGCTTTAGAATCATTTGGCTCGGAAAGGATCTTTATACATCATCTAATCCAGTAATCATAGCCCCAGTCAGCCTGACCTTGATTGTTTTCAGGGATGAGGCATTCACCACCTTTTTGGGCAACCTGTTCCAATGCTTAACCAACCTTATTGTAAAAAACTTTTCCCTTGTATCCAGTCTAAATTTCTCCTGTTTTAGTTTGAAATCATTTCCCTTTGTCCTGTCACAGCAGACCTTGTTCAGCTTAGAGAAGAGAAGGCACAAGGGAGATCATTGTCGCCTCCCAGAACCTGAGGGGAGTTTTTAAAAAACATGGAAAGAGACTTCTTACAAGGGTCTCTGGTGAGAAGAACAGGGAGCAATGGTTTTAAAGTAAAATTGGGTGGATTTAGATTAGATATTCTGAAGAAACTCTTTACTTAGAAGGTGGTGAGGCCCTGGTACAGGCTCACCAGAGAAACTCTAGATGCCCCATCCCTGGAGGCATTCAAAGCTAGGCTGGATGGAGCCCTGAATAGCGTGATCTGATGGGAAGGGTCCTTGCCCATGGCAAGGTGTTGGAACTTAATTATCCTTTGCTTTGGAAGGGAACTTAATTAAGTTCCCTTCCAAAGCAAATTGCTCTAAGATTCTGTGAAACAACTTCATCCATTGTTTGTCCTTTACAAGAATATGTAAGCCCTTTCCTAATATTTCCTAATATTTCATTGAAGTAACCAAAGTTGTACTTCTTTCCCACAGCTTCCCTCAAATCCTTCTAGGACCTAGGGTTTTTAAGGTGAAATTCACTCTAGAAAAGTTATGGAAGGATGCACTTCAATACTGAAACTCTGAGAATGACACAACACAGAGCAGCCAGTAAAAGTGTTTTCAGTATCCAATTTTCTTCTTGAACTTCAGTGTTTATCCTAACCTCAGCTTAGGATATTCATCAGGTTGGTTTCAAAACCATGACACTGCCCTCTATTAGTAGAAGTGCACTCACTTTCCCCTAACATGTAACGAAAATCTTTGCATATACTGCCAGACCTTAATGGCTTCTTTGCCAGATGCTCTCCATCATTTCTCTACTAGATTTCGTCACCCAAACCACGAGTCTCTTTGCTACACCACTGCAGAGAATCTTGAGAAATGGTTTCTTCTTCTTTTACTCCTCCTCCTTTCTTCCTTCCAACTTTAGAGCCAAAGGAAAGACCTCCGTTCCATAAAAAGCTCTAAAAGTAGCAGAGCGCTGCTGTGAAGACATAGCAATAACAGCAGCATCTGTTTCAGATGCCTGTGTTGAAGGGATCTGACAGAATCCATTCTTGACACACTTGACAGCAGAAATCAAGCTTTAAGAGTGCTCACCAAAGGTGTTTGCACTAGACATGCTCAGAAAGGGCCTCTTGAACAACGAATACATTTGAAACATGGAGAAGTGTTTTTTCTTTTCATTATTTCAATGACTACTTCAGAACTCTCAGTCTAAGATTTTCAGTTTTAAATCTTAAATGCAAAGCACTTAATTGCCAATTAAAATAATGATATCCTTTCATTCAGCATTTTTAGCTGAGCTCACCAAAGAGGCTAATGCCTCAATGGAGGAATGCACACAACAGTTTTAAAGTGAGTGCTTATGTGGACTGGGAAACTGAGGCACAGTGTGAAGATCACAGAGACGCAATATGACAAGGTAAGAAACAAAACCCAATTTTCCTAGTTCCTAGGACCCAGTCCTAATTCCGGAACACATTCCTTTCTTTGCAAGGGGTATTTCAAAATGAACCATCAAATCCCACCACTGTTCTCATCTTTCTCTGGACAGATGATATCCCATGTTGCTTTCATTATTGCTTTGTGCTATCCTTTGTCTCTCCTGTTCCACTCCAGTTCTCTTGGCTTCACCCATAATCTCTTCAAAAACACAGTGCAAGTATTATTCCTGTTTCATGCAAAGCTTTCCTAAATTTGTGGCAGGGAAAACGCTGCAGAAAAACTGTATCGTGTGACTCCCAAATGAAACCAGCTGCCTATTATTTCCATGCCTGTAACTTTAGACCAAATTATGTGAGCTGGAAAGCAAATCTTTGGTCACTCTTTGAAAAAGCAAAGTATTTTATAATCATTTTTATTTACATTTCATGCTAGTAGCATAGAAATTTGATCACAAATGTGACCTTGATATTTTCTCTTGCTCAACTATTTTGCTACTAAGCCAATTATAATAGTGATATAGGATATTCTCCTTATGGTGTCTTTAAAGTGTAGCTGCAAAGTCTACTAACAAGAGGCTTATGGTCACTGACAAACCGCCATAGGACACTGAGGTCCAGGTGCTGTGAAAACTGATAGCACTTGCAAAGCTCTCCTGGAGCCTTTATCCTGCTTCCTGCAGGTTGTTGAGATGTCACACCAATCTCCATGCTACTGGGGACTGTCTATGTCTGGAAATCATAAGATCTAACTTAGTGGGAATTTGGAAATATCTACATGGGCGAGTATAAGTACAGCATTAACCTACACACCAATTCTGGCCTTAAGAGCTCACAGAGTCGCCAGCAGTCACTGATGCTACAAGCTTATCTGTTAAATCAGAACTGAATATCCTTCAGAATTTGTTCACTCAGGTAGAAACAGCACATCAGTGCAGAAAACGTCCTCTGAAACACTATGGCCAGTAGTCAGCAAGATAGGTAATTGCCATTGTCCCTTCAGTTATATAGACATATATACAGCTTTCTCTCAAGCCTGTATATTAATAACACAGGTGCCCATCTTGCAGCTACCAGTAGGGAGTGCCTTGTTTCACCTCAAGCATTTCAGAACTGAATGTCCTACTCCACACTTCTGTTTTCTAAGTGGGGGTGTGGAAGAAATGGATTCAAAACTTTTCCCTCATGTTCTGTCCATCATATACCCTTCATTTATTCTTAGTCATTCTGTTTGTTTGGGATCTCACACGTGACCGTGCCTGCCAATTAATTGATACCAGTAATTATATTTTAAAAAGTTAAGCTCTAGTGAGTGTGATGAAGCCATAACATTGTAGTACATGATGACTTTCACAAAAATTAAAATTTCAATGCATTAGAAGCTGCATAATGTTTCTTCCTTGAGTACCAACTAAA